TTTTTTTTTTTTTTTTTTTTTTTTTTTTTTTTTTTTTTTAAACAACACCATATTTCTTCTTATACTTCGTTATAAGTCATGTTTTCAGAAAAACATGGTTGCATAATACCATGCATAAAACTTGTTTCAAAAAAAATTTGCAATCGTTAATTCAGTCCATTAATAAGTAACTTTTAATTAAAATAAAAAAAATACACATGGCTTATATAACAGAAAATAATATTGATATGCGAGTCGTAGTTTCAATAATTTTACGAATCAAATGATCTGCATAAAATGATTAATTAAGATAAAAATAGTATTAAAAATAAAGCTAATTTCGTTAACAATTTTAAATAATGTCTACACAACAATGATAAATAACAAGAAAAAAATTTAATATATCAAAGAAAATTTACAATATTTGCTTTTTGTCATTATAAAACAAAAGAAAAAAGTAAAAGAAAATATAAAAAGAAAAAATAATATAAAATTGATAAAGATTTTGTGCAACTTCATGGAAATTAAGCCGGATTCCAATGGAGGAACTATTTTCGTTTGAAAATAATAGTAGAGGGCTTTGCGATATTTGCCCTTAGATTCGAATTCTAGACGCGTGTAGAATAGTATTCAAGTGATTCTTCGAATCTTACATAAGTGTAGCAGTGCAGTTTGCGTCAATGATTCTACCAGTCTTCATGTTATATAATGAACATTCGAAATTGAATTCGTCTTTCTTGCTCAATGAATCTTAACTTGTAATTTCTAATTACAAAAGTCTTTTCTGGCAATGTCGCTAATCTCGATTTATTTTTCGATCGATCATTGTCAGTAGTTTATCATAGAAAATTTATATAGAAGATTTTATAATTTCAAAACACTGTTTTCTAATATTTTTAGAAACACGACTTTTTTTTTATATTTTATTTACTAGTATAGTGAATAAGGTAACGCTTAATTTCATTAAAATTTTCAATATTATATAAATTTTATTATTCCAGTAAATATATATTTTTTAATATTTTATCTTTTATCTAATTTATAATCATATATATTTGTATATAAAAAAACATCTTAGTGATCATTAAATTTTATAAAATTTAAAAGATCTATTGAAACTAATAATTTTTGAATATACATGAATTGATATTTTTTTAGATGAAGAACATCGAATTGTATCGATTGAGATATTAAAAAACATATAATTCCATTTTAAAAAAAATTGCCTTTTATGAAACGAAAAAATTAATAACAAATAATTTTCTTTTCATTTTATCTGAAACATTTTTCCTTACGAATAACATTAGAGAAAACCGAAATCACAATTAAATGNTATATATATATATAGAAAAATCTGAAGAATATGAAGAGAAAAACTATAACCACGATTCGTATAACGAATTCGATTCAAACATATCGAGTTGCATGTGATTACCACTGGCCTTGCCTTCAATGTGGACTAGCCTTGGGTCACTCACCTGAAGATAGAGGCTTATTGAAACAAACGATCATCGACTGATGCGGCATCTGTGAGGTCAACAAGGAAATAAATTTGCTTTTTTTAATCTTGGATCTCATCTTTTTTTCTTTTCTTTTTTTTTTTTTTTCTTTTTTTGGAATACGTAGGAATAGCTCGCGAATTTATTATACAATAAAGAATTGAATTGTACGAACAGATCTAATGATTCGAGATATTCATGAATATTAATTCGTGGAATATTTATATATTTAGATTATTCGTTTTCACATCTATAGTAGACAATTCTTTGGTAGAAAAAACACGACATTGTTGAAATTCATTAGATAATTATTAAAGTCTAAAAGATAATTATGATAATTTGAATTATTTAGTTGTTGGTTTTTTCTTTTTCCATTTATTTTAGAAATGATGAAGCTATTTTTAATATGTTTACAAATTTGTTTGATCGTGACCTATGATATTGGTAAGTATGATTTTTATATATTAAATTTTGGTGATGATAATGATTATGTCTTATATATAATCTTTTTAATATATATTATTTTTTTAATTACATCTAAATCTTATTTTATAATGAAATTAAATAAAAATAAAAAATTTAATACAGATATATAAGTATAATTTAATCTTATATAAATACAAAGACAAAAATAATTAATAATTTGCTAGTAACTTGTGTTTATGTCACTCAAAATAAAACTATTTTTCTCACATTACTTGATAAATAAAAATAATAAAATATCTAAAACATTCTTTAATTTAACAAATACAAATTAACAAATATTTAAATTTAATATTTCAATAAAAATATTTTAATTCTGACAAATCCTTACCATTATCATATCTAAAAGAATTAACAACTGAATTTATATAATTCCCTTACAATCAAGTTAAATATTAACCAATAAATATTCAATATATATACTTAAATTAATTATAATTAAATCCTATATAAATATATAACTATTTAAATATTAAATAAATTCTATATAAGTTATATAAATACAGATAAGATAAGATATAAATATTAAAAATTAAAATAATCTAATTACATTTTAAATATTTGTTACTTTATTTTTAATTTTGATTTTCTCATAACCATCATATTTTCAAGAATCAATGATTGGATTCATATATAATTATCTTATAATTCATAACAAGGTAAATATAAAAATTCACTAGATAATAGAAAATTCAATATATATAAATATTTAAGATTCTACGTACAATTTATTTTACATGAGTATTGAATTAAGTATTATGTTCATAAATGCAAAGATAAATATAAAATATTTAAAACAACTGAATATTCTAACTATATATCAAATATTCTTTGCTTTATTTCAACTTTGATTACTTTCACAAGCATCATCATATTTTCAAGAGTCAATGACTGGATGCACGTATACAATTCTTTCTTTCACGGAATGAAATCCTCTTTGAAAGGAATCCTAGAGCATTTATTCTCATTTTAATATGGTTGAAATGCATGGTATAGTGAAAGATCAAGATACAAGCGATGGAGTCACGAGAACGTAGTAGAGGCAGAAAAGAAATGAATGTGTGTGCTTGACAGCATTTCCGGTATGGTCTGAAGTGGTGTAGCTTAATGACTCGGTATATGATAGCCAGGTGAGTGACCTGTCCCCAGGGCAATGATAACTATACCCGCGAGGAGATATATGCTTGTTTCGCTCTGTTCGTCGCGTGACAATTTCTTTTTCTCGAGATCTTTTATTTTCGTGCCAACTATTGTAATCATGCTCATTTTTTTCTTTATTTTTTTTTTTTTTTTAGGATTTGAGGATTATGCATTATGAGAAATGCAAAAGATAATTGAAGAATATCAAATATATTATGGAAAATGGATATTATTTAAGGACATCAAGTTTTTGAAAAATCATGATTCTATTTTTTTTGGGAAGTTTAAGAATGATTGTGTATCAAAAACACGAGAGATGGGATAATTGGAAGAGAAATGTGTTTTATATTATTCAAAAGTGTCAAGTTTCTGTAGAGTCATGATTCTCTGTTTTTTATTTTTCTTTCTTTTGAGATTTGATAAAGATACACAGATAATTGGAAAAGAAACATATTTTATTAAGAACAAAAATTTTTATATAAAAATTAATGATTTATGATATTGTAATTTTTCTAAGCATCTAATTTTTATAATTCTAACCATTTATAGTCTTATTTTAAAAAACATGAAAAAGATTCAAAGAATTTAAATATCTTTGAAAAATTAAAAAAAGAATTTTAAATTTAATATTCAAATTTACGAAATTTGCGCTTAAACAAAATCATAAAATATTAGTCAAATTACAACGATTCTATATTTATTCGATACTTTTCTCTAATATAAATGTATATATATATATATCAAAGATCACAGATTTTTATGGGGAGGAAGGGTAATCGCGAAAGATGAACATTGTTCATAGAATAATAATAAATAACATTTAAATTGACGTAAAAAATCGACATACCTTGATTAATTCGTGACGCACAGCTTGAGGATTCTTGTCAATAGCGACGCTAATGCAAAGAGCAAACAGTGCCTCCTCGTGTCTTCCTAGCGCGGACAAAGCCACCCCTCGTCTGTAATGACCCTGTTAATATATAAAAGATGAAAGAAATTTTAACAGTTATTCTAATAAATCACTTGAATAATTTATTATTTAAAGCTTCGAACACTCAAACTTAGATCAAGTTGGATTAGAAGAAAAATGTTATTCAACTATGAATAAATCTTATTTGAACATTTTAAAAAGTTAAAGTAATTTTATTCGATAATATAATTTATTTGATTTTAATTAAATTTTGTGGCTCGATTCTAGATTCAATATTAAAAATTTTATCGATTTGAAATAATAAAAAATATATTGATTGGAATTGTAAATATTATTATAAATACAATTTATTATACGTTATTATAATTATATATTAATAAATTGTACAATTTTAATGTTAATTCTCGAAGAAAATTCATTATTTTAAATTTATTATACTAACAACATGAAGAAAATTTATTTTACTCGTCACGTTTCTTTATAAGCTTGTTTTGAATCAGAAATCTGAACTAACCTATTTAGGTTGGAAGTAATATGTTACGCGTGGTTTGAGAGGATTTAGTTTGGGATTGGGTTAAGGATGGAGGGACAATACATGTCGCCAAACATGTGATCGAACAACGTGCCAAGTGGAAAAAACACATGGTACTTTTTATATCATAGTTTCCATACGAAAAAATTTAATTGAACGAAATTTTTATGAAAGCAAGATTTTCTATTCCTAATAATTTATGTATAATATTCTAAATATCATTTTTATACAATATTTATTAATTTTTCTTAGTTTTCATTTATATTTCATTTTTTTAAATAAATTTTTAAACTACAATATTAAATTAATAATTTATAACTCGATATCTGTTCTCTAACTCTAATTATTCAACTTCTAATAATTCAATTTTTTAAGATTAATGACAAATATAGAATCTTCATTGTATTAAAAAATTTTGATTAAAAATTGTATAACAAATAAAAAAAATTCAAAATTAAAAATCAATATATTCATACATTAATAAAATAAAATCACAATTATCATTATGTTAAGATAATATTAAAAAAGTTTTTTCACTTCACACACAGTCAAAAATAAAATTTATAATAGATAAAAAAATATATTAAATTTAACTAAGATTAAGATTAAAATTTTTTCGTTCATGCAAAATAAAAACTACATGTATATTTACATGTATACAACGTGTAAAACTACATATATTACTATTCGTTACACGGTATCCTAACGCGATAATATATACAGGAAAAAGGAGTTTCTCACCTTGCCCCAGTCCGGTCGTAGCCTAACAGCATGATCAGCATCCGTGAGGGAGGCTTGAGGTCTATTCAGCAGGAGCAAAACGTGAGCCCTGTTGCTAAGATGGAGTGGGCTGTTTGGCGCTGAAACAGGAGGAAACACGAACATAAAGCATTGCTAGAATATTGACTCCAAAGAGTTGGAGATTGGGAGGGTCTCTTGGCAACAAAATCGCCCCTTTTGTTCCATTGGAAACCTTTTCCTCTTGATTAAATTGTGGAAAAGTTTTCACGTGACATGTGTGGCAAAAATATTAGTGTTTTCATGCTTTAAAAACAGATAATATTAATTTTATTTTCTTAATTTTGCTTTTTTTTAAATTTCTAATGAAAAATTTAGAATAACATTTTAATATCACCTGATAAATATTTATTTATTGGCTTTGTTATCTTATATTATAATGAATTTCTTTTTAGCGATGATATTGTTATTTTTTAAAATAAAATTGCAAACAGTGCAAACAAACATTGTAATTTGATAAATAATTAATATGTCGATATTAAATAAAGAAATTTAAAAAATGCGAAGATAAAAATATCTTCATTTATGTTTTACTCCTGATAAATACAAACATCCATACATCCGAAACTCACTAAATCATTAATTCCTGTTCTTAAATCGTTATTCAATAAACGTCCGTGTCATCGAGATTTCGCGACGAAAATGTTGAACGAGAAACCACTTCGTTTGAATAATGTATAAAGAAACTGGTAAATTAAGAAATTAGTTGGTCGTCACAGAATTTTCAATTATTTTGGACCTTTTCTAAAAAGAATAATATAAATTGGCATATTATTTGTTTATTATTAATTATATTATTAATTGATATATTAATAAAATAAATACAATGAATAATAGAATAATGATAATGACTAACCAATAAATTAATGTTATTTTACAGGTTATGTTACTTATCAATTTTTTTACAACAAGTTTTAAACCTTTTAAGAAAAGATAAAATTGGCAAAGTTCTTCTTCACAATAAAATTGCGAAAAATTAAAATAAATTTAACAAAACAGGATAATAATTACTCAATAAGTTGATGCAATTCGTTTTATAAGTTATATACAAAGAGGAATGTTGTACAACACAAGTATAGATATATCGCCTCAAATTTATTCTGAAAGCGTGTTACGTGTTAAATCATTTTTTTTTTTTTCATTGATTTGACCTTCGTCCAGAATTAATCCAAGGAATACATATAATATAATTTTTTAACGAATTATATAAAGACGAAGATCTACAGTGCAAAATATCATAATTTAAATTTGAATTAAACTACAGTAATTAATTAGATTATAAAATTATATTTTATATTTTGATCAACTTGATAAAATGGATTTGATGGAATCTTTGAATTGATTATATTTGAGATTGCAATCAAATATATCTTTTTTAAAATTCATGAGAATTATTATTGAAGTATTTAAAATTTTTTTGAAAAAACAGCAAAAAATCTTATACAGAATTATAATATCATGCAGAATTTCAATGTTTATTATAAAGAAATATAATTTAATTTAACTTAATTTGGAAGAAAAAAATATTAATTTTTAATTTGTTGTATTAAATATTAATATTTAAATTATTAATTTGTAATATTCTTCCAAATTTCTAGATATTCTAGTTCTTCTAGAAGTTCTTTCTATTATTTCTTTGATATTTTATATTTGATATATAATATCAAATATAATTTGATTAATAATGCAATATAATTGATATAATAATGCAATATTTTATTAATTATAATTTAATTAATTAAAATATTCTAACTATTATTCGAAACTTTTAATATCTTTATTTAAAAAAATCTAATTTTAAATTTCTAAAAAACACAAAACATTTTAAAATATTAAAAATTAACATAACTTACCTAATATAAAAGAACTTGAAATATCAACATCATCAAATATCAACATATCTCAAGAAATAAAAATGTTATATGAGAAAATTTAATTAAATTTTAAACAGAGAATTAATACGAGATTATAATATCAAAAAGTTAGACACATCTCGAATGTAAACAAAAATGGTTTCAATTATCCCTCTCATGTATTGATCATAGAAATTGATCTATTGCAATATTTTTATCCTATAATTTGTTCAAGGTAAAGTTTACTATGAACGAGACGTTCGTGTATATAAACCAAATGCGAAGATACGCTACGAACATCGTATAACTTTCTCGAAATAGGTTTGTACGCGGTCATGATTTCGATGGCATCCGTTCCTCTAAGTTAATGCACGTTCAACTGCAATATATGAAAACGTTTCAGAATTCTTCATAATTTATTATCATTTTTAATATACATTTTTTGCTTTTCATTTTTTCTTTTTTTTTTAATTTTCTAATTAATTTGAAATTAAAGTAAAATTGCAGAAAAATTACCTTCTTTTCTTCAATTTCCATGATTTTTAAATATTATAAAAGACGAGATTCTGAATTATATTAATGCATTGCAACTTTGTCATATAATATAAGCAGCATTATAACAATATATGTGATAGCAATCTTTTTTTTACAAATATTTCGAAAACTGAAAAAAAGAAAAAAAATTATTTAAAATTTCATTTTTTATATATTATAACTCCTTGTCTTAATATAATAATTTTTAATCAAAAAATATTACACCAGAAAGTACTTTAATTTCGTTCGAATTGCTTAAAATAAAAAAAATAAAAATACTCAGATTTTTCGCTATTTTTATAAAATAAAATAAAATTCATATATAATAAATTTTAAAATTTATATGACATGCTATATTTTTATTACATACTTAACCTAACCTCCTATAAAAAATTTATATTTCAGAAATTATAAGGCAAGAAGTTAAAAATTATTTATATGGAATATATAATTAACTTATATATAATAATTTACAATTACATTTACATTTACAATTAAATATATTTTTTATTAAAAAATTTTCTAAAATAATGCTATACTAACCCCTAGCCAAAAAATTAAGAATACTCACAATTTTCAATATTTTTGTGCTTTAATAAAATCTAATAATAATTTGTATTAATTATTTTTATTAATTATAGAAAATTCATTAGAAATTTTTTACTTTTTAAATATTTAGATTTCATAAAACGCATTAATGAAAAACTTTTAACATTCGTGAAATTATTTCAACAAAACTTCTATTCTATAACAAAGTTACAAGAATTGATCAATGGCAATCGCGATCGGTAACAAAGGAATCCGGTTAATCGAGTATTCATACATTGTCGCGAGAAGCGCGTTTAAAGATTTACGAGAATGCAGTGGCCGCGGTCACCGTTGATAAATGGAACTCGATGAATCGGTTTGACTTGGCATTGGTGGTGATCAAGCGTGGCGGAAATTCGTCCTCGACCAGGCAAGGGTCTCTACTCGACGGAGGCAATGACATTGTGACCAATGCCAGGATGTATCGGCAGATGCCTAAAGCATACGCTCTTCTCTCGTAAGTGAATATTTTTTTTATTGTTATAATGTAGTATTCTTGCTTTATTATATATTTATGAATATGAATATGTTTAAGAATTATTTTTTTTACAAATGTGATGAACATGATCATAATTATGATCATGTTCACTTGAAAAAAAATTTCAAGAGTTCTACTATGAAATTTGTAACCTAACCTAAAAATAATACTTTTGAGAATTATTTCTTAAGAATTAAATATTGAAATAACAGTAGAATAGAATATGATGATAATTTTAGCAGATTGATAATCAAAGAGAATGAATACTTTTGACATATAAATAAAACTCTTGAGAGTTCATTTCGAAGATATGTTTTTATAATAATCTATTGGGTTAATAATCGAAGATATGAATATATTTGAGAGTATGAATACATTTGACTGTATTTACTTGAAGAAATTAATCTCTCGAGAATTGCCTTTGAAAATTAAACAGGAAAAGTTACTTTATTGAAATATTAACTAAAAATACATTTAAGAATAAAATTTTTAAAAATTCGAGAGTAGAATGACTGTCCGATAATAATGGATAGTAACCATTAGCGAAAAATATCTCTCGAGAGGAACTCTCAAAATTTTTAATCTCAATTGTATCTGCACTTCAAATTTAAATAACGATGACTAACAATAATGATTTAACATATACATATAATAATAATTTCACAATCGAACAAACTGATCAACGAACACAAACTGAATATAGGTTAGAACAATGTTTTTTAACCTTTCTTAAATCAATATAAATTGAAATAATTATTGAAATAATTTTATCATCATTAATTCTCTCTAAATTCAAAAAAATTTCATCTTTAAACAAGAAAAATTTGAAATTTATTTTTAGATCCAATCAAGATTACAAGAATAACATTTTAAAATTCCAATGACACTTGCATATGAACCAAGATTCATCCAACCAATTCAACGAAACATCTGGATCTCGTTCTGGACCAATCACGTGTTCTTTAGTCAGACATTCAAGGGAAAGGTTGTTGCATACATCTTTGATTTTATGCGTGTTTCACAGTGAAAGAATGCTCGAACGATATGTCTGAGACTCGCAAGAGGCTATTTATCGAAGAAAAAAAGAGAAAAGAACGTGGCATACCGGATTCAGTGAAGCAGTTAAGAAGGCTATGGTTTTTCTGCTTCTCTTTAGAAGGCAATCGCGTGGGCAGATCATTACTCGTGTCTGTGTGAAATTGTTGTCGAGCATTGTGGCTGATAACTCGTTCTTGGAATAAATTGATTCCATCGATTGACTACATTATCTTGTTCTTCGGTTCAAAACAAATTTCTTTTTATGAAAAAATTTCATATCGGAAGGATAGTTGAATATTCTTTTTTTTAAATAAATAAATTTAACGGTGATAGAATTTTTAATTAAATATTAAAATTAATTAAAATATTTTTATACTTGAGGTTTTTTTTTTAAAACTTTAAGATTTTTTGTTTCCATTCTATTTTCAATATCGAACAACTAAATTGTTATTAGAAATTTATTATTCATTAGAATATTATTACAATTTTGTATTTTATAAATTCATGTTATATATTATGTTTTTTATTTTTGAGAATTTTGTGATTTTTTACTTTTCATTTCTTAAATCAA